CCCCAAAACCCCAAAACCCCAAAACCCCAAAACCCCAAAACCCCAAAACCCCAACTTTTTATAAAAATTTAAAGCTAATGGAGTGAGAGTTGTGTTTCTTGGAATTCGATGATCAAAACAGGTAAATTTTTATAGCCTAATATGCTCAATTTTCTTAGAAAGTCCCTTGATTTTTGATATCCTCCCAAACCACTCACTATAGGGTTCCAAAATGCTTAAAAAATTGTGGTCATACTTTCTGTGAGAGATGCATAATGGCTATGTGGAAGAATTTTAAAATTACATGCCCACTCTGTAGAACTGTGATGAAAATAGATTCTCCGAAGGATATCCCCTGTACAAACTACAGTTTGTATATTCTAAGTGACCATATTAAGGGAAAGGAGAAATTGAAGGTAACCTACCAGTAAACATTAGATGATGCAAGAGAAATACCAAGCTGAAGACCCCTTGATGTTTTATAATGTAAAAGAACAAATTGGGGACCTCCAGCTCACCAAAATCACAGGTAATTATTAGCCAAAATTTTAGATGAGGAACTGGTCTATGTGAAGAAAAATAATGAAGAGGAAATTCGGCGTGAAAGAGTCGACAAACTTAAAGTTAAACCAGTCAAGTAGGTTCGCCATGTTAAGTAATACAGAGATTGCTATGTCTTTACAACGGACTCTTATCTCAGCCAATTTTTGTACCCACATATTGCCAGAACCCGGTTTAGATTTCTGACTAAAAAGCTTTCGCTCTGAACTCATAAGTACTCATGCTTTGAGAGATGAGTAAGAATTTGTGTCAAAACCTTTGGAGGCTACAGCTTATACAAGATTATCAGGTTCTGGGGCCATGAGGCAAAGGAAGGTGAAGATCCTCCAAACGAGAGTATATTTGACCTCTATGGATTAATTCTACTGCTTCTCACAGGTGTATACCTATACGATAGTTGCATGCATTCCCTTATTTTCAACTATAAAGACCGCAAGAAGAGACTTGGACAATTGTAGGCCAATAATATTTTGGTTTATTACAGCAAAAATCTTTCTATTAGTCAAGAATAATTTGGGGTTTTGGGGTTTTGGGGTTTTGGGGTTTTGGGG